AAGATAGAAATTGTAACTCCTTGGTCAGATCCAAAGACTTGGCCTTGGTGTCAGAAGGATGGGCAAATCCTCGTTAGGGGAATAGAGCCTGACTTAAATTGCCTGCGAGTGATCGGCATGGAGACAAAAACAACACTAGATACCAAGAGAGGGAGATCCTATACGGATCCTCCAATCTTATACGGCGAAGGAAAAGAGGCGGTGTCCCCTATGTGTTGAAAACCGAGATGTGACTGAGCCATGGAACTATTCCGTGAAGTTTTGATCTTTTATAAAGATAAATATTATGAGAATTTGTGAGCCTGCGTTCCTTTCACCTCCGCTAGGAGCCAAGCTACGGAATTAAATTTTGTTGTGAGAAGACGCTTTGCCGGCGAGAAGTTCCATGTGATGGCGTGGGTGGGGAGGGAGGAAGGGATCTCTAGAAAACCGCGAGAAAATGAACAATCCCTGCGCCACTCGCAGCAGCCAACCACTCGGTCTCATTTCCGAGAAAATAATCGCAATAAAGGAAAAGGTCTTATCGCAATAAAGGAAAAATTGCAACAGAGGGAAAATGTCTATGCTGCCACAGTACAACTCCTGATCTTAATGACGAGACAATAGTTTGATCTCCCGGAGTGAAAAGTACTTCGATCGGCATCGGCACTTCTGCCCCCTCACGATCCCCGATTTTTGAGATGTCTGGTCGATGGCATGTTCAGGAAGCTAATGAGAGCATGAGAATGTCAGCGAACGGCTACATGAACCGTTAGAGTGTACAAAATCGAGGGAGTTGTGTGAAGCATGCGCGGAGATGCTTCGTGTGATAAGAGTGAAGCCGCATAGCGGAAAGAGATTGGACCGTGTAGAAGAATAAATAAAAGAAGAAGGAAATTCCAAGTCGTAACTATGTCGACGAAAGGAGAACTTAAAGAAATAAGGACGTTACGGTAACGAAAAGAACAGTAAAAGGAGAGCATTTAATATGAAAAATAACACTGATCAGCGACCTTGCTGTTATAAGAATTGGCTTTTATGCTAATGAAAATGCGTGCACGATGAGAATTCATCTAAACTCACGATTACTGTGCTTGGAGCTATGAGGACGTTGTCCTTGCGCGCGAACTCAATCATACAAACGCGGTTTGTCGTCTAATCCTACATTGCAACAGTACTGCTGATGTCGCGATACACCAAAGAAGAAATAGCTAGATCTATTATAAACGGAACGCCTCTTCAAAGTTGTCGGCACCCTTAATGCGAAATAGAAGATCACTGATAGAATAAAACCACTACCAATCACAATCTTATAAAGTCTTGAATGGCTGACCGAAAGGTCTTCACTAAGGTACAGCCATATGTCCCAGGTGCAAGG